AAGCTGTGCATTTCAGAGGATGATGCACAGTAAAATCCAATTATAGTCAGAATAGAGCTGGCAAAAATTACTCCATCATATCAGCTGTTTATTATAAAACATTTTTCAATCAAAATTCTCTGCTCAGAAGAGAATTTCTGAACCACACTGGAGCAATTTGTTTTATTTTCTCTCTCCCTCAGGAAAAGAGGGACATGGTTTGATTGCCATGGATTGTCTAACAATTTTGCACATTTTCCCTTGGCTCAGAAGCGTTAAGGGAATACAGCAGACAGAAAGGAGCCTGACAGACATGAAATCTTTTAATATCATTCATTCAGCAAACAATAATTTAGAGAGAAAAGGGCTGGGTCTTACACTGCATTCTGACATCAGTTTCAAGAAAGCAGAAAGATCTTGACATGATTAGGCCAAGTTTCAAGCAAGATTTTAATTTAACATCCAGTTGGTATTTGGACTTTCTGTTATGGGTAGAGATGACTACTAACAAAGGAAAATATGTTGGACCTGGCCAGAGGCTGCTGCAAAATGCAGAAAGATTTAACGATGCAGCAGACAAGAGCAGGCAGTAACAGCAACAGTGGTCAGCAAGACCCTAGGAAAGAGTTTGGGTAGGCAAGTGCCTTCAATACCCATACAGTCTGGACAGTGTGTTGCAAAATGAGGAGAAATACACACATGTCGGTTATAGCATGCAGGAGTCAAGACTTGTGCAGACTTCTCTCCTAGAGAGCAGTTTCCTCAGCGGTGGCTCTGGTCTGTCTGATGCCAAGTTGCATTATTGTTTCCCAGAATTACAGAATGATTTGCATCTAGTTCAAACCCCCCTGCAATGAGCAGGGTTGTCTTCAACTCGATCAGGTTGCTCAGAGCCACATCACACCTAACCTGGAATGTGTCCAGGGATGAGGCATCTGCCACCTTTTCGGGCAACCTCTTCCAGTGTTTCACTACCCTCATTGTAAAAATGTTCTTCCTTGTTTCTAGTCTGAATCTAACCTCTTTTAGTTTAAAACCCCTACTCCTAGTCCTGTTGCTACAAAGCCTACTAAAAAAGCCTGTCCCCCTCTTTCTTATAAGCTCCCTTTAGGTGCTGAAAGTTGTAATCAGGTCTCCCCAGAGCCTTCTCTTCTCCAGGCTAAATAATGCCAACTCTCTTAGCATTTCTTCACAGGAGAGGTGCTTCAGCCCTCTGATCATCTATGCTGGCCACACTCCTTTTGATGCAGGATATGGTTGTTTTTCTGGGCTACAAGTGCACATTGCAAGGTCATGTCCAGCATTTCATCCACAAGTACCCTCAAGTCCTTCTTGACAGGGCTGCTCTCAGTGTTTAATTGCACAAATTTATTACAGAAGTACCAAAATATGGCAAGACAGTTTGAGGGACTGCAAACTGGAGTAGCAAAAATTATAAATGCTACAAAGAAATCTGCTATCAGCAAAAATTTGTGATTGGGATAACGGAGTCAGAGCCTGTGTGCTAAGCCGTCCCATAGGGCTCTCAGCACCTAGCAGGGATGGGTAAAAACCCCTGGCCAGATTAGTGGAAAGTACAACCGTCTTGATCCACTGCTGTGATTTAAAGCAGCTAGAGTAGCTTCTGCACCAGACTCATGATTCCTTTTAAGAACTGCACATCATTGAAAAGAAACAGAGAAAATGTCCATTTTAATTTTCATTCTCTGAATAAAGAGCTAAAGTGCAAATATGATGAACATCAAATTACAACTACTCTTTTCATAACTGTTTTTTCTTTTTTCTTACATTCCTATTGAAGTCATGGAATACGTTGGGTATTTCCTCATGTTTGTCCCCTTCCTTCCCCTCCCTACTCTGCAAAGGGTCAGGAGGTTGATACTCACGGTAAAGAAGCAGTGGATGGTTTTGAAATTTTCATGCCACTCTCAGCCATCTCAATGGCCAGTTTTATCTCCATCTTTTTGTATAACGACACAAGGCTGGATTTGGGCTGGTGTTCCCGAATTAAAATTTTCTTCAGATACTTATTGTCAAACTTCTTAAATCTGCAAAAGAGATACCAAAATCAAAGTATAAAAAAAAGGGGAATGTGTTTTTTTTCTGCAGTACAAGCTGATCTTCATTCAAATGCACATACATGTAATTTGATGGTGCAAACTAAATCCAAATTAGAGGCACCTGTGGAGGCTCCTGGAGGCCTAGTGAGCAGAGACCTTTAGGGGGACATTTGGCATAGTCTACTGGTCCACAGAGATTTCAGAGCCCACGAGACAAAAGAAAG